CTTACATAATACAAAATGTCTATGCACACGTTATTATTATTAATAATAATACAAATAATAATAATTAAAAAACACCTCAGGGGTCACATCAAGAGGATTCTGAAATCATCTCGCGACCCCCCGTCGGGGTCTCGCGACCCCCCACTTTGGGAACCCCTGCCTTAGAGGAATATTTTGAATTCAAGTTTTTAATACTCTTAACATATGAGTGGACAAATATGCTTTATGCAAATGTTTGTTTATTATCATTGGAACAATGACAAATATTCTCCTGAATATTCTCCACACAACAACCTGGAACCTTTCTCTCTTTCTCTCTCACACACACTCTCTCCCAACCCTGTGTACTTCTTTGCACTGAGCCAGTTGCTCAAACAGACAAGCCTGTTTACAGTTGTCGGCAAAATGCCGCTCCTCTGTCTTCATAACAGTCACAGCATGAGACTGAAGTTCCCACAGTGGGTCACAATAATGAGCTGTGATGTGGAGTCGACACGTTGGATGCGATCCGAATGATGTAACGCAGCCCCTCGTCCTCTACAATGTTAAGCTGTAGCCACCCATTTAGCTATCGCTGTTGTTGTCCAGGCGTCTCCCCGGCAAACTTTCAAGCGCAAACGAGCGGCAGGAGCGGCGCTGTCAGCATCAGCTGTGTGCTTGGCTTGCTGTTCACCTTTTTTTGTATCCATATCTCTCGCTTGAATCTCCCACCATCCAAACTAACAACAACAAGGTCAAGCCTTTGGGCTCTGAAACTACGGGGCGGGCCGAGGAAAAATACACATGCGTTAATCGCACGTTAAAATAATTAGTGGCGTTAAAAAAAAATTGCGTTAGCACGTTATTAACGCGTTAACTTGACAGCCCTAATTGTAACACTGTAATCCTGCTAGTTACAGTAATCTGATTACATGTTTTTAATGTAACTGTCAGGGAATAAAGTTACCTTTTTTTTGTATCCTGATTACGTAATCTTGTAACATGTAATCTGTGACTCCTAAACCTGACAAAACATTACATATAAAATGACTTCCACTGTTTGCCATTGGTTTCAGTGCGATGCGACCTGTGGCCCCTCACCTGTTTGCTGGGTGCGGATGGTGTGTGAGGGCACGCTGGCCTCTCCGCTGCCCAGGATGTTGCTGGCGATGACCTTGAACTCATAATCCATCCAGGCCATCAGACCAATCACACGAGCCGACTCTGCGTTCCCCTCAATGTTCACCGGGTCTGTGCAGGAGGAGACGAGTGGAAATGTCTTGTTTTTTTGTTTGTACTACGATTGGATGTGGATTATGTTTCTATTGATCACAAGTTCGACACACACACACACACACAATCACACACACACACACACACACACACACACACACACACACACACACACACACACACACACACACACACACACACACACACACACACACACACACACACACACACACACACACACACACACACACACACACACACACACACACACACACACACACACACACACACACACACACACACACACACACACACACACACACACACACACACACACACACACACACACACACACACACACACACACACACACACACACACACACACCTGTCCTCATCTTCTTCCACTCTGATGACAGTGAGGACCGGCCCATGATGATGTATTTTCCGATGGGACTGTGGTTATCGTAGCCACGACTCCACCTGAGCTCCACTGAAGCCTCAGCCACGTTCTTCACCAACAAACCACCAGGGGGTCCCGGGGGGGCTGCACGCAACACAGGAGGAGCAGGGCTTTGATCAGTGCTCGCTGATGTGCACACATGGATCATGTGGAGCAGCAGATCATTGCTGGACTCTGCTACATCTACACTGTACGCTCAAAGGCCACTTTCTTTCAGAGAATAAACTATGGTTAAACCAAACAGTTACTGCAGCTGTGATTGACTTCACAGGATTTTCCTCTAGGGAGAGCTTTTATACATTTAGTAAGAAATGTTTTACTCTTCACTTAATTATCTGATCGATTTGCAAGCCATTTAGCAGATTCTCACTTCAAGCCAACATTCAGCTCATGTGATGAGATCTCTCCTGACAACTGAGATAGTGTCTGCCCTAAATAGCTTAGTAAAGTGGGATTTTTGGACAAAGTTAAAACTATCAAATTATGTATTAAAACATTCATCAACTATTACCTATTAATACTGTACTTGTAAAAACATCAGAGGAAATAACAAAAAAGATTCTTACGTATTTTTCGTTATAAGAATAGCAATAATTAAATAAATTACAAGGAGTTGGTTGAAGATAATAATTGAATTAACTCACAATGGAAGAATCTAGTAAATGCAATGTATAAAATGGAAAAATTAACCATGCCATATCTTAGATTAAAGATGGGAAAAAGGGAAGTTATAGAACACAAAACATAGTTGTAATGTTGTATCCATCCAGCTTTATATATATATATATATATATCCTTTTTTATTTTCTTATTCTCTTAACCGGATTTTTTTATTGTTATGTAGTATTTTTATGTTTATTTTGTATGCCTTGTAATCAATAATTTCTTAAAATGCAAATCAAATCAAACATTGGATCACCTGTAACGTTATTGCTGCTGACACTGTTTGTCCTCAACAAAGAATAATGCAAACATGCCTGTATTCTCTATACGCTGAAGTAGTTTTTATCAACAGCTCAAAGAGAACTATGTTGTTATCTCAAACTAAACAGGAAGTGATGGCAGCACTACAGCCTGGGAGTCTCTCAGGTAAATCGGCTGATTTCCGACAGACTGACAGCTCTAAAAGACTGCTCAACAACACATTACATATACATATTCTGTATTAAAAGAGGTTATCAGTAAGTAACATTAGATTCCACATTAGAGAGAGCTGGTTCCAATGACATGCTTTCACTCTGACTTGTGTCCATGATCCTTTCCCTGTATTCTGTAGTGAAGCCTCACTTTGAAATTAATTTCTTTGGCTTAACGTTTCTTTCTCACCTCGCACCACCAATTTGGCTGCAGCTGAAGCGCTGTCCACCACCGTCTGAGACGTGCACGCGTACATCCCTGCCTGACTCAGCTGAGTGTTCACTATCAGCAGGTCTCCTATGTTCTCTTTCTGCAAGGCCACACAGTGGGATCAAACAAAGAGTTAAACAGTGTGTGAGTCAGGAGAACAACAGACAGAAGAAACACAGTGAAGAGGAGCAGCATGCTGAAGAGGTGAAGGAGCTCATTCCAGCTAAGTCTCATCACATCAACAATGAAACAGTTCCAAAGAAAGAAGCAGGGAGGTAATATGGATAGCCAATTCCAATTAGGAGCTTATTTCTGCCAGGTTGTGTGTTCAGGTACTGAGAAATGTCCAACCTGTCGTCTGGAATTGACTTATTACAGCTGGAGAACTCCTGTAGTGTGCTGTAGTGGCGTGGTCTCACTGTAGATGAAAACGCTGCGAAACCTGGTGTGTATATTAGATATGTCCTCCAGGCTTTAGCGTGAGGACTGTGTGTCCAAACTTGTGTTTAGAGAGATATTTTGATATATTCATTGATGTGACATCCTTTTTTTTTTTATACCTCTTAATGTGTGTATATGTCTGTATATATATATTTAAGTGGATGTATGTATGTATTGTATACATTTATTTATAGTCAACCTTTCAGTCCTTTTAGTGTATTTTGTAGCCTTTGTGTAACTAATGAGGGTCCATCACACTGTGTTTATTCATCACATGCTCTCTACTCCTACATAACCCCCCCAAACAATATTTGAACCAACACTATATTAGAGCTCTGGTAGAAAGTTTGGGCAGGTCTTCCAGAGCTCCACCCTCCCAGCAGCTTCTCTCCTGGCCCCCAGGACTCACCCCCTCCACCCTGCTGTAGGGCCCGGCCGAGTCCTCCAGGTCCAGCAAGCCCCCGTTGAGGGCCCAGGTGAAGGTCAGGTCCATGGTGGGGTCGTGGGAGGCGTGGCACTGCAGCGTCACGTTGTCCCCTTGGTTGATGTCAGCGTTGGAGGGGGCCAGCGTGATCTTAGTGGCATCTGGAAGGGATCAAAATAAAAGCTACGTCAGATACAACTGGTCACAGAAACTTGTTGAAAATGAGTTTTCAATTGGTGGATAATAACATAAACCTTTTATAAATTGTTAGGAGTGTTTTTAATAACTTGTAACTTCATGCCAAAAAGGATATAGAAAGACAGAGTTTGATATAAATATGTATTTGTTTTGTGAAAAATACATTGTTGACGTTTTTAGTATCAGACTAAAATGTCTCTTTGACATATAAAGTGACATATTAAGTGACGTATAAAGATAAATAACACAACTTGAATGTAATACCTCATATTTCTAACATAATGTCCCAATGTGTAAAACACAGATGTGTTTTGGTTTTTATCAATATCATATTAATTCCTTTACTATAATATAGAATTGTACTTCCAAAAGTATAACAGATTTCAGACTTAAAAAAAAAAGCGAAATTTCTCAATATATCTGTTTTTGCAGATATCATAATCAATGTACTGTATATGGAAAATAAATTACCCAGTTATTTGCCATATACAGTACATCGAATATGATACCTGCAATAAGCAAATAAGCCAATATTGAATATGAGCCTTTATTGGTCTTGGAATAATTAGTGTTATACTATTTATATATATTTATATTTGAAGAGAAACATGTCAACACTGCTCAGAGCTGACATTTCAAACTTTATTTTATTGCTTTGTTGCAGTTTTCAGATGACAAGGATATTGCCATTGCAGTGTGCTGGGTGTGTGTGTGTGTGTGTGTGTGTGTGTGCGTGCGTGCGTGCGTGCGTGCGTGCTTGCTTGCGTGCGTGCGTGTGTGTGTGTGTGTGTGTACCTCTGACAGACAGGTGTCCGGTGCTGTTGGCTTTGCCGAGGTAGTTCTCAGCAAAGCAGGTGTATTTCCCTTCGTCTGCCCTGCTGATGTTGTGGATCCATAAGATGCCGTCTGGAGTGACTGTGACTCTGAGAACACACAAGCATAAGTATGAAAAGTATGTCAATCATAAATATTACAATCTTTATCAGGTAATGTCAAGTCAGATCATCATAGCATCATCCTCTGGCAGACACATCTCCTGTTCACTGATAGCCTCAAATCCAAAACCAACAGACTGACAGACCCAGGAACAGCTGCTCATCTTAGCTGGGAGCTTTATCTTGAGATGAAACACCCACTCTACTGCTCCAGCACTGACTGACTGAATCACTGAATGACTGGATGACTGACTGGATGACTGGACGACTGCATGACTGGATGACTGACGGAATGATTGACTGGATGACTGGATGACTGACGGAATGACTGACTGGATGACTGAATGACTGGATGACTGACGGAATGACTGGATGACTGAGTGGATGACTGCATGGATGACTGCATGACTGACGGAATGACTGAATGAATGAATGATTGGATGACTGACGGAATGAATGACTGACTGGATGACTGACTGGATGACTGACTGGATGACTGGATGACTAACGGAATGACTGAATGATTGGATGACTGACTGAATGACTGAATGACTGACTGGATGGATGACTGACTGGATGACTGAATGACTGGATGACTGACTGGATGACTGGATGACTGACGGAATGACTGAATGATTG